TGTTAATTTAATTCGAGTGAAAAGCCCCAAGGACTGATTAAGAGCCGATTGTTCCGCTTACTTTCGCCTTGTTAAATGTTTATTTGGATAAAATCATGAGTAAAAAGAAGAGAACGTAAAAGAGTGGAAATTTATCGAAAAATGAAAAAAAAAATCTACCTTCTGATATTGCCTACGATTGTCTCGGTTGATTTTCTAGACGATTTCTCGGAATAACAAATTGAAAATGCAAAAGATCGAGATGACGATTATTTTTCTTTTTCTCATACTTGGATGTTAAATAATTCAGAAGGTTCAGTTATTTAACTCGCATATTATAGCTTTGAGAAAATGATTGATAGTGGTGTCTATTAGAAAAATTGTCGTTCTTAAGCCGATGGCGATTTTATATATATCTATATATATCAAATATGAATAAAACGTAATAAATGCATGTCTCTTTTTAAAATATGATACACACATGGCGTATGAGAAAAAGATAATTGCTTAATATACATTATATACATTATTGTGCAGGAAGAAATAAATTTCTGATCATTTACATAACATCAAACGTCAATCAACTCCGTTTCTTTTCTCGCGTGAATAATGCATTGCGGGAATATCGCTTTAGTTCACGCATTGTAATTATGAAATAGGATATCAATGTTTGTTGCAAGACAAGTTTGTGACAGAAGTATCTTAACGGTAAAACAAATTGTTGACACAATTTCGTAAAATATAGATAAGCATCTTATCGCATCTTATCGCATACATTCAGATTATAATAGAAATCCAATTTGGAAATAATGTCGACGATAACCGAGCAACATTGCCAAGGGGAACAGATAATCCCTATGAAACTCGATTGTAACAAGATAGAATAGATATACCGGATTCCTAATTCTTTTTTAATCTTTCGAAACGTTCTATGGCTTTTGCAATCGATTATTCATCGATATCTATTAAATTAAGACATAAAATGGAACATAATTCAAACATAAAACAGTTTTGGAAAATATTTATTCTGTATATAGCAGTCCATCGATAGAAAAATAAGATTCTTATTTATTGTCGTTGAATAATTCAGAGAAAAGTGTTTCTCACTGGGTTTTTGATAAATTGCAGACAACAATCAAGTTTGAACTGGCCAATTATATAGATGGAAGTTAAACGTTTCTCACGTTTTGTAGATTTATTTGTCAATTACAATACACTTTTAATAATAGATATACATAATATTCTGATAAAAATAACACGCGAAATTTCTCGTAACGTATTGTCGATAACTATCACTCAATCACTGATGATTCTTATCGTATGTTATATCAATGAATCAGATATATTAGCTACGGATTTACTTAAAGAG